ACTTTACTTCAATTTTACACTAACATGGAAATCTCTATGTTCTGTATCTATCTTCTCAGGTATTACTTTAAAAAATTTTTTTTTTAAAATCTGGAAGAAACTCAGTAATCCCACAGTGTCCTTACCCCTGAGGTTATCATCATTCAGAATTTTCACCACCATACTTCCAAATAGGTAGAATCAAGCTGCTAAAGTGGGAAGGTCCATATATACCACTCCCAGGAGCCAACTCCATTCACCCCTCTCCGCCTTTTCCAACCCACAGGGCAATCCACAAAGTTCAGTAGGCAGCCAGTGAACTAGGCAGCCAGTGAACTTGGCTTCCAGAGAGATCACCATCTGTTTTTCTACCTCTAATAAATAAAGTACCTCTGTTCTATAAATTCACATTGCTTATGGGACTAAGGCCTAGAATGAAAATGGAGATAGAATTTTTGTCCAGTTTTAATGAGTTTAAAAAAAAATTCGTGGGTAGCAAGTTTATGCTGTAAGAATCTATGCACTGCGTAACAGTCTGAATTTGATCGGGTTCAAACAATGCTACCATGTCCTAAAATCCTGGGCATTATACGCTTTCCAAATGTACAGTGTCATCAAGGTTTTATGACATTTCCTACAAAAACTCAATAGTCAGATAGCACTTCATCAGTTACAGTTTAAATTCAGGTATGGGAACAGAAAATTACAGCTTCAGCATGGAAACCGTACCGCTCTTCTGATTTCAGTGTCACAGCCCCATGGGAATATTTCACTAAACACTTTTCATACACGTGCATTTTTGTCCCCTACTAAGAGAACTCTATGTCTTGGAATTACAGAGTAAAGCCAAAAGTATGATGGTAGGGCCAAAAATCCACTCTAGATGACCTCTGTCTTCCTACAAAAGTTTCATCAGAGATGCTCCTCCACCTGGGGTTTTCTGTTTATTCAGCCTCACTTCCTTCTTCAAGTGATGAAATACTTAGAGCATCGTGTCCATGCCTGTCTACGTGGCTTATGCAGCACACAAGACTTCTGAGACCCAGAGCTCTGAAGGCAAAGCTGACAGATATGAAATGCAAGCCTAGCTTTGCCAGGGTAAACGTGGCCAGGAAAGGAGCATACCTAGTTCCACTGGCATCAACACAGGGTTGCAAAAGAGTCTATGAGAAAGAAATATTAAGTAATACTGCATGTCTGACATTGACATGAGCTTATTATTCTTCCATGCCAACACACCCTAATCCAAAGCTTATGCTATTTCAATCCAAGCCTGCCCTAAAACAGCCAATTATGCTGAATGTAGTCTAAGCTCCAAGGAGTCTCCAGAATTAAAGACAATATTTCATTGGTCCATTTGTTTTTGTATTATTTCTACATTTTGAGTCAGTTTCTAAATCATATGCATCACTTCTCTAGGGATTATTTCCCTTTCACATTGCAGGTATAATAGAACTCCTGTGGCTTTGCTACGTTGCCAGTGGTTTTATTTCCTCCCTAAAAGTATTGGTAAACTTGGTTTAAAAACCTGAAGCTGAGCAACCTCTCCAAATAAACATGAAACATTTCCAAACCCATTGTCTACATGACTTAAACAAGTGATATCATAATCCTGTTGCCAAAAGGAGCCATAATATACAACTGATTTTGTTCTAGAACTTCCAGACTGGTTCTCAAGCTTTTAAGTATGGCTGTGAAGGAAAGTTTAAAATTCTGCAAAATATTTGCATTGGTAAAAGTGGTCATTTGTCACTTATGCATTGTAAGTGCCATCCCAAAATATTCACTGAGAAAACTGTTGTCATTTATTCCTCAAGAATGAGTGCACTTAGTCTCAACTTCTGACAAAATGGACAAGTGTGATATTTTTCCTTAATTCACTCTCACACCTGGTGTCATCATCATAAAAAGTGAAATTTTAAAAAATGAGGCTTATTCTCTTAATTTACAATAATTATTTTATTATATATTTCTAAAGACAAAAAATACTTTTATCTAGGCTATGTGACCTTGGGCAAGCTTACCATAGCCTCAATATTCCACAATTCCTTAGATTAATAATTGTGCCCATCTCACTAGGTAGTGGTCAAGAGTAAGTAAACAGTGCATGTAACAAGCACTATTTACATGAGTAAATAAAGTATCCAGCAGTGTTCAATATAAGTAAGTTCAATAAATGCAACCTTTGTTATTATTTGCAGATGGATATTTTAAATGAAAAATCTTCTTTTGAATCCTTAGAACATGCTCCAAGACAGGCTACTATAACCATTTCTCTGTTATTCCCATGTACCCTAGACAGCCCCTTTGATTCAAGGGTCCTTAGTGATCTCTGCTCAGCTCTCTTCTAAATTTCTGTATCAATTAGCTAGTGCTACAAGAGGAGGCTCCAATGACCAGGACCTTGTCCATGAAGATCTCTACAGAAATGAATTAATAATATGATTCATCAAATCGCCAATATCCTGAGAGTTTCTAACAAATGCAGTGTCTCTACTTTTAACTCTTTGGTAAATCCTCTATAATTTGGTTTAAATCTAACTTTGTTTTTAAAATGTGACGCACTATTCTGTACGTAAATGTACCATTTAGGCTCTGGCTGACCATAACAGAACAGGAAGAGACTAACTGGCTCTCAGAGTTTAAGAAAGATTAGAGAACTCACTTATGAAAAGTCAAAAGCGTGGGGAATATCCTAATAGATATTAGAATGCTCATCACAACCTCTGCACTGAAACAAATGAATGCCAACTATTGTTGTCATCTTTGCATAGCTCTGTCCTTGAATCAAATTCACAAGAATAAGTGCTCCTGGCAGCAGGGGGTGAGGATGTAATATAACCTTGGCCAATCAAATGCTCCTATGCAAGACTTTAACTCTAGAGCAAGTTCATTTATCCATTCATTCAACAAATATTTGTTAAGCATTTAGTAACTTTTGGGTACTAAAGATATGGGGGAAAGGTCTCCCCTTTTGGAATTTATATTCTAGTAATATGAATGAACTAGGTATATTTAAATACATATTATATTTATTTATATATTTAATATATATTATATAAATTTTAAATATATATATATGTACACACACACATTTGTCAGATGGTTAAAAGTTCTACTTAAAAAAATAAAACTGGATGACAGAAGACAGAGGGCAGGAATGTGGGTGGTCATGCGATTTTATGCAGGATGGACAAAAAAGGCCTGCAACAAAGCACTATTTAAACAGAGACCTGAAAGAAGCAAAGGCATGAGCCATGTGGCTATTTCGAGCAGTTCTGTCAATAGGAACATAGTGTGAGTCACACAGTTAATTTTAAGCTTTCTAGTAATCACATTAAAAAAGTAAAAAGAAACAGGTGAAATTCATTTTCATAATGTATTTTATTTTACCTGATATGTCCAAAATATTTTCATTGCAACATATAATCAAAGTAAAAAATGATTCATGAGAGATCTTCCATTTTTTTCATAAGTCTTCCAAATCTGATGTGCAGTTCACACTTGCAGCACATCTCAGTCAGGTCTTAATCTCTACATGTGGCTCGTGACTACCACAATGGGCAGCATGGGCTCAGAATGAGAGTGTCTCTGTAAAGGCTACAGTAAATGTCAGGTACCAAGACAGCATGCCTCACGTGTCTGCAGAAGAACATGAAGGCCACAGTGTCTGGTGTAGTCTGAGCAAAGGTGAAGGCAGTGAGACAGGAGGCCAGACTGGCCAGAGATAGCCTAATCCTGCAGGGTGTCCTGGGCCCTTGCAAGGACTTCCACTGTTACTCTGAGTGACAATGGAAGCCAATGGAGGTGGAGACAGCTGTGCTCCTATGCTTGGTTTATGCTCTGATGTTACCATCCTGAAATTCTCAATTTTGGGACAGGGGCATCATGTTTACATTATGCAATGGACCCCCAAAGTTATGTAACTGGTTGTGACTAGAGAGTTTTGATCAGAGAGTGACATGAACTGTTTTATGCATTACAAGGATTAATCCAGTTTCTGTGTCAAGAATAGGCTGTAGGAAACATGAGGGAGGATGCAAGAAAATCACCTGGGATGCTGTAGATCCACGCCAGGTGAGAAATGATGATGGCAGGTGACACCAAGAGCAGGGGCCAGTTAGTTCCATTTGCTGCAGCTGCAGCAGAGCACCTGACAGCATGCCTGTGGATGGCAGCATCCACGCCAGAGGCTCCTGCTGCCCACCACTGATTTCCACCTAGTTTCCACTCTGGCCGCCTGTTCATCTGACAGCCCTGTATCTTCCCAACACATTTTTTTTTTTTTTGTAAAAGAGCAGCCATTGGTGTCTCTTCTCACCTACCCTTTTACTAAGAGAAGGCAGGATACTCAGTGGTCCCACTAAAACTATATAGGGTAGTAAACAGGAATTCTCCAAAAGAAAATCGGGATGCTATCACAAAATCAGGGTCCCCTATAAGGTAGAAAATGAGCTGCTAAAGGAAGGAAGGAATTACCTTAACAAGGTCGAGCATCTTCTATGTTGCATCACTGTGGCTGGAAATTATTATACATTCTTTCCATTGATTTCAATTAAGTAATGGGTGTAAAACATTACTCCTGCCTCCCAAAAATCTGTATGGGCTTCACAGAATAGGATCTACCACAGTTTATGTGAATATCAAATGTATCTAAAATACATTCAGGACCCACAAAATACATTGCTAACTCTCAGTAATGAAGAAAAAATTAACTGTTGGGACCTTTGGTTATTTTAAATTTGAATCTAAATTTGTACAATTCTCTCTATGTTTAAGCTGGTGAATAAAAAAAAATCATCACTATTTAGTTTCTAGGTAATCAAGTAGAAAATTCATCAAGCAATGCTAATATCGACATGATACAACTACCAGTAAGTGAAACACCAGTATGAAAATCAGCCTATACTTCCTAATCTAAGATTCATAAAAGATTACTTATTTTCCATGTGCTCAAAATTTTTCTAAAATGACAAAACATGGATGATACCCCACTTGAAGGGCTTATGTCAGCTACTCACCTTTTTCTGAAGAACATTGATTTTTCTTTCCTTCACTTCTAACATATCTTTCATGTCACGAATCTCACCGGCCAGTGTCCCCTTCTCTTCTGTGAGGTCCTGCAGCTGTTTCGTTTTTTTATTGAGGAAAGATTCTTTTTCTTCCAGTCGTAATCTCAGCGCATCTACCTGAAATCAGGAAAAAGACAGAAGGTTGTGGTTTTACAGAAAGGTCATCAGTAACCATCACTTGTGCCCTTGGAGGGGGCAGGGCAGCAGCATGTTCACTGAGCAAGGCACAGTGGAACCACTGCTTATGGCAACCTCACTGCCCTGCATTTTAACAGCCTACATCCTTCTTTTTTTTTTTTTTTTTTTTTTTACAGAGTCTTGCTCTGTCGCCCAGGATGGAGCGCAGTGGTGCGATCTCTGCTCACTGTAAGTTCTACCTCCTGGGTTCACGCCATTCTCCTGCTTCAGCTTCCCAAGTAACTGGGACTACAGGTGCCTGCCACCATGCCCGACTAATTTTTTGTATATTTAGTAGAGACGGGGTCTCACCGTGTTAACCAGGATGGTCTCAATCTCCTGACCTTGTGATCCACCTGCCTCAGTCTCCCAAAGTGCTGGGATTACTGGCATGAGCCACCGCGCCCGGCCAGCCTACATCCTTCTTAAAGCCCTATTTGTGCACATCTCAATAGTGATACTTTTAAATATATATATATATAAGACTTCTATGAAATAAGACATTATGAAATAGTGGTAGGTTTCCATGTTTGTTTCCCTACTTACGAGAAACTATACGTTTGTTTAAGCTGGGAAACAAAGCACATCAATACTCCCATGTCTCTCTGAGAGCCCAGGGAGGGTAAAATATTGCTCAAGCTTTGCAGCACAGTCCTGAAATACGGAGAACATAATGAGCCACGCCATGGACATCTGGAGGAACAAGACTGACATGTAGAGAAACACTCCTAAATTAGAAAAATACATGTTGCCAAGAGGACACTCATGCTGCTGGAGGAAGAAAATAAGATAGAAATGAAACATCCATTCTCCAGCCTCATGAAAGACTGCTTTCCAAATACTTTTAAAGAAAAAAAAAGACAAAGCATACAAAAAAAATCCTCTTTGTAACTCAGCTCTAAAATTTTAAAAAATTATAATTCCTGCTTTTCAAATGTTGTTAATAAAAAAGAAAATATGTTTTTTTTTTTAAATTTAACATTCTGAAGGCCATGTGCAAAGAAAGGTCTATTTCTAGACCACTCAGAGTAGATCATAGAAACAAGTCACTAGGGTAGTAAAAAAAAAAAAAAATGAGACAACAAAAAGAACATGAAGACCATCAGAATACCATTTTGAGTTAATTTTCTGTAGCATTTTAAAATTGTACTTTTTTGATATACAACACCATATTTGCAACCGTGTTTATAAATATACGCTAATCTAGTCTTAAAATGTAACTGTGACAAACACTTTATTTGAAGGATTATTGTCCTTAATTATTGACAATGATGGACCATGAGATTTCCAAGGGACTTGTTCTCAGCTAAACAATGACATTCAATATGTTACTCCCAAGACATTTACTTTTTTTATTGGATGTATTTTTTAAAAAAGATTAGGACCGTTTGCCACAATTATTTTGCTGCCACTTCAGCAGATACTACTGTTATGGTCTGAATGTGTTGCTCAAAATTCCTAAATTGAAATCAAATCCCCAATACAATAATATTAAAAAGTGGCACCTTTAGGAGGTCATTAGGTCATGAGGGCAAACTGCCTCATGAATGGGACTAATTCCTATATGAAAGAAGCCCAAAGGAGTTCATTCACTCCTTCCATCATGTGAAAACACAGCAAGATGGCACCATATATGAAGCATTGATTGATCTCTCATCCGACAAGAAATCTGCTGGTGCCTTGATCTTGGACTTTCCAGCCTCTGCAACTGTAAGACATAAATTTCTGTTGTTTATAAGCCACCCAGTCTAGGTACTTTGTTCTAGCAGCCTGAATGAACTAAGACAACCACCATGATTTATTTTTTCTGGATCATTAAAGACACCTTAACATGTGATTATATGCAAAGCCAGGGTTAGAACCATCCAGGAACTAACTCTTCAAGGATCAGTCCTGATCCCTTTGGGAAAGGATGTATGAAGTAACTCTTTGTCAGTTCCCTTAATGTGGGAAAGGAATATACTATGTTTACTACAACAAGTCAAAATTAAATAAGATCATGTAGAACAGGGGTCCCCATCCCTCGGACCAGTTCTGGTCCAGGGTCTGTTAGGAACCAGGCCATACAGCAGGAGCTGAATGTTGGTCGAGCACTACTACCTGAGTTCTGCCTCCTGCCAGATCAGCAGTGACATTAGATTTTTATAGAATCTAATGAACCTAGGTCCCTCACATGTGCAGTTCACAATAGGGTTCACGCTCCTATGACAGTCTAATGCTTGATGATCTGAGGTGAAACAGTTTCATTCCTAAACCATCCCGTACACCCCATACCTTTTTGTCTGTGGAAAAACTTGTCTTCCACAAAACTGGTCCCTGGTGCCAAAAAGGTTGGGGATTGCTGATATAGAGAGTGTAAAAGACATGTCCACAAAATGATTTTCATAGAGATACCCACAGCAGCATTGCTCATAATGGATCACACAGGAAACAACACAAATGTCTATCAGTAAACGAACGGCTAAATAAAATGGTGGTATATTTATATGGAATATTACTATCCATAAAAAGGAGTGACCTGCAGAATCACACAATAATATAGGTGAATCTCAAAAGCATCCTGAGTGAGAGAATCTAGAGGATTTACGGCACGACTGTGTTTCCATTTTTGTGAAATTCTAAAAGAGGTGAAAATAATCTATGGTGACAGAAATGAGAGCAATGGTTGCCTGGGGTGGAAGGTGGGAAGGGCTGATTATAAAGGGACAGGAGGGTATTTTTTGCCTCTAAATCGATTAGTGAGAGTGCAGAACAGTTACATGGTGCACAAAGTTGTCAAAAGTAATTGAACTGTATACTTTAGTAATTTATACTTTGATATACAGTTATAATTTATATTTCAATAAGTTTGAAAAATATATGAATACATAACTAAGAATTAACAAATATCTTACAAGAATGTCTTTCATGAAAGAGAGAGGTCAAAATAAACAAAACACCAACCTGGGAACTAAATTGCCTTATAATGTAACTGGGAGAATGAAGTAGGGGTTGGATAAGATTCCCATGGGTGATGAGGTATTGAGGTGATGAGGTATTGGGGTGATGGAAGGACTTAATCTTCACCCTCCATAGCAGGAAGTCAACAGATAGTAGCTATACTAGCAATCAGGAAGTAGAGAAGCAAGTATGTTATTTAGAGATATCAAAATAACTGAACAAGAAGAGTTAAAAGAGTTTGTCTTAGGGAAAAAAAATGGAACAGGGGAAGTAGAAGATTGCTGCATTTCATTACAAAAATTTTCAAACATTTTGCTTCCTTATCCTATAGGCAAGTAAAATTTGAATGGAAAGAAAAAAAAAGACAAAATAAATCAAAAACAAAAATCACACAGGAATGCCATAAGAAATCAACAGAAGATATACAGCTACCCAAAACATATGAAAAATACTCAACATCACTAATCATCAGGGAAATGCAAATTAAAACCATGGTGAGAATATCACCTTATCCCAACCAGAATGGCCATTACTAAAAAGTCAACAAACAATAGATGTTGGCATGGATGTGGGGGAAAGGGAATGCTTATACACTGCTGGTGGGAATGTAAATTAGTAAAACCTCTATGGAAAACAACATGGAGATTTCTCAAATAACTAAAAGTCAATCTACTATTCAATCCCACTACTGGGTATCTACCCAAAAGGAAAGAAGTCATTGCATCAAATAGATACCTATGTGTGTATGTTTATCACAGCACAATTCACAATTGCAAATATATGGAATCATCCTATATGCCTATCAAAGAATGAGTAGATAAGAGTAGATAAAGTGTGATATATATAAGATATACATATGATAAGAATGAAATAATGTCTTCTGCAGCAACCTGGATGGAATTGTAGGCCATCATTCTAAGTGAAGTAACTCAGGAATGGAAAACCAAATACTGTGTGTTCTCACTTGTAAGGGGGAACTAAGTCCTGGGTACTGCATGTTCTCACTTGTAAGTGGGAACTAAGTTCTGGGTACACAGAGGCATGTGAAGTGGTATAATGAACACTGGAGACTTAGAAGCAGGAAGGGTGTGAGGAGGATGAGGAATAAAAAACTACCTACTGGGTGCAAGGTACACTACTCAGGTGATGGGTACACTAAAATCCAGACTTCCTCACTATATGATTTAACCAATCATGTAACCAAAAACCACCCATAACCCTAAAGATACTGAAATTTAATATTTTTTAAAAGAAAAAAAGAAAAGTTCAGAGCAGCAGAAGGTGGCATTTAAAAGAGAAACAACAACAACAACAAAGAAGCCAATAGGAACAATAGAAAGAGGACACTTAGGTTTTTAGAACTGGTTCTGCTTTTATCTGCCTGAGAGGATCAGGACAGATAACTCTCATTTCCCCTCCCCCAGCCTTCCAGCCTCAGTTTCTCCATCTATAAAACCAAGAGGTGTGAACAGATCATACCTGACATCTTAGGATTTTTAAAGACAGGAATCCATTTTTGGTAGAATGTATCAGGGAAGGACAATGATATTAGAGAGAAAGAAAAATTATTGGAGTAGAAGATCCTTTTCTTGCTCCTTGACAAGAAAGGGGTGCCTAAGCTGTGTTTCTAAAGGTCAAAGGTGACAGGGAAGTGAGAGTTTTTCCAGTTTCTGTTCCAGTGAGAAGGATGAAGCTGGGAGGTCCCAGTAGGGGAAGGGGTGATCACAGATGTGTGGAGCCCCCAAGCCCTAATGGCCCTGACTGCATTACAAAAGAGGGTGGACATTCTGTGACTGGGGAGGAAAATGGCAGAATCTTCAAATAGCTGATAGCTGTGCCCCTTCTCACATAATAGCCAGAAAGATATAGGGCCTGGGAAGGTGGAGCGGTACTCATGTCCTGGAGATCTTCGTCTTCCTAAATGAAAATTCATGCCAGGTGCACTAAAGATGATGCACTAAAGATGGACCACAGCTTCTCATGTGGCCCATCTTTGTTTA